CAAGTTCTTTTTGCTTTCTCGGCACTTGCTCTTCTTATTCTTTGAGTCTTCGTTCTTCGGCTTCGCTTGCTTTTGAAGAACTTGGGTCTTGGGGTGCATCTTTTTTGAGACTTTGGTCTTCAACTGTTGGTGGGTCATCTTCGGTTACCACAGTGATAACTTTCTTGTTACGTCTGCCCATTAGCTTCGCGTGGTCGTGGGAGTTTTCGAACACACACAAACAGTGGGCGCCAGAAGTTGGATAAGAAATTACTCAAGCATCAAAGTTTGAACACAAGACAAAGTTGTATTCATTTCATGATCGTACTGTACATGTCAGAGGGGGTATTTATAGGGCCCCAGTCTTCGTATCTTACATAAAATGACTATTTTACCCCTAACTCAAATATTTACAACCCTTTTCAACTATAAGGGTGAAGTGGTCATTTTACACTACTTTAGTCTTCATCCCTCTATTTGGCCATCATTCTTCAGGGAAATTCTGCCTTTTGTCTTAGTCGATTTCTGCTATGCTTTTCTTTGTCTTCGTTAATCAGCGAAGTTAAACTTCGGTCTTCGCTTTGGTCTTGACTTCTTCTTTATCTTGATTTCTCCTTCTTGGCGAAGTCAAATCTTTTCATACGAAGTCGAAATGTTGTCTTCGCTTTCCTTTTCCCTGCAAACAAATTTCGTTATGGAATCTTAAGAATTTAGCTCCAAAGTTTGGGGCTGTGTTTTGTGACGAAGTTAAATTCCCAACACCAAGCCTTACTCTTCATCTTGGTGTGGACCTAACCAAGCTTAACCACACACTTAGAAAAAGTTTAGTCCACTAGTTGTCTCAATTACCAAAACCAAACATAGGGCTTTCATCCTGGAGACCCACTTGCATGTGGGGAAGACTCTTGGGCTTTCCATAGATTTTCCCGATTGGGAGTTTAGCCCTTGCAATGGCATCTTTGAGAGGGGTTCTAAAGAGGACTAGTGGAAAGTGTGATCTTTCTAATACCTAAGTAAAAAGATCATCGTGCAGGAGTTTGCATTCACTAGCTGGCTCAATTTATGTTTCTACATTTACTTTGCATTATATTTCTTGGTGTGTGCTTTTTTAGTCTAGCTTGCTAGGTTAGTTGAGAGGTTGAACCTAGGTTGCAAATTTGTTTTTGCGTTAGGGATAGTAACACTTTGAAAAACCTAGTGCACATGTAGATAGGACTTATGTAGATTTTTATAAGTGATTTTGTGCCTTAGCTTTTAAGTGACCTAATTCACCCTATCTATTAGGCATCATGTTCCCTTCCTAGTGGACCTCTGGGACCATCATGGCTCTCATCCTAAGGCTTCATCTTGATACCTTCGTGAGTTGTCTGCTTTCTCATCCTCTTGGAGCCACTTATCATATTTCGACTATCTTGAACTACCTTTGGTAACCTTTGGATAGATGTAACTACGTAAAAAGGAAGCATAGCAAATAGCTAAGCCTGGGCATTTTTAACCGAGAACTGAAAATCGAACCGAAACCGAAACCGAAATAAACGGAACCAAAAAATCGGTTCCTTATTCGGTTCTAGATTGCGAGGAACCAAAAGAACCGAGCAAATTTCGGTTCCTACTCTCAGATAACCGAATTAACCGAAGCAATTGAAATACATAAATTGTAATTCACTTACTTGTATTTTATAATACTATGTTTGATTTATTTGTGATGTTTCGTATTGAATTGCTATATATTTGTGTTACTATATTGCTATTGTTCTCTTATCAATTATTATTATCTAAAATAGATGTAATGTTGCTTAAACTTGCTTTAAAACCTATACTTTTTTGGTTGTATTAACCTCTGCTGAAAAAATTCGGTTAGTTCAGTTAGAACCAAAACGGTTATGTGACAAATAAACTTCCCACGTGAAAAACGGTTATCTGACAAATAAACTTCCCATATATTGTCCTGGCCCACACATGGAGTGGTTCTAGGCAGTTAAGCTTCATTAGCTGTGGTCCCGTTTGCACTTTGCATCAAGAGGTAATAGGTTTATTAGGTTGCAAACACATAAAAATGAAATAGAAGGTAAAACCTAGTAGTGTTACAATCTACAAGTTAAAACAAACAGGTCCCAGGCTACAAGCCTACAATAATAACTAAATTGTAACAATTCATGACAGTCCAACAATGTATCCCCACCTCTAACAATCTACGGGATGAAATCTAGAATTTGCAAGGCAAAACAATTAGGGTCAAAGTATATTTGATCCTGTATATTAATTGCTGTTGGAACTGAAGGTATTTTCACCACTTCGAGCAGCTTATCCTGATTTGTTTGTGACTTAGCAAATAGTCCATTCATTTTAAATTATAAGTTGTTCTAGTAGCTTCTTAAGATATATAGTTTTTACTAGGTAGAAAAGCCAGAATGCCTTACAATTTGGAATGTGAGGAGCATGTAGTACTGAGTATTATTGTGGAAAAATATAGTACTGAATATGATAGTATGAGAAGAGGACTTGGAAAAGAGGTCTTGCTGAAAGTCAGATCTCCCAGTTTGGCCCATCCCACACAATCCACCACTTTCAAACGAGCCGGTTTAAATGAAGCAGACGGTTAGTGCCACGAAATTTACTGAGATAAACTAAATTAAGGAGCCGTACGCCACACTTCGACGCAAAGAAAAAAAAATGAAAATAGGCAATAAAATAGGATGGGGAAAAGAAGGAAATCCAGAAACCATCCCATTGGTTGAACTTTGAATATTCCCACGTGATCACGTGGCTGACCGGTGACGATGGAACCGGCCGGTAGTGACCTGACTGGCCGTTGAAGTCACTTCAGACGGCACAGCGGCACGGCACACGCCGGCGTCGGGCGCATCCTTTATTGTAGAGCCGGGACGACTGTGCTCGCTGTGAGTAGCTGCAGCACACGGCTCACGGCTGTGCACCTGCACTGCACGTACGCCGACAGCGTGTGTATGCGTGCCAACATCTCTCTCAGTTATTATATTCAAAGTTAAAAATACTCATGAAAATACAAATAGCATTCTACCTTCATCATAAATTGGAGTGAAACATTTTCTTATGTACTTCAACCGTTTCAAATTATAAGTTGTTTTAACGTTTTGATTTTACTATGCCTCTATACACACAATGTATATCTAGATACATAGTAAAAATCACGTATGTAGAAAAGTCAAAGCATCATATATATATATATATATATATATATATATATATATATATATATATATATATATATATATATATATATATATATATATATATATATATATATAGGGTAAGGCTATTCTGCAGCTGGCTATAGAATAACTTATTCTATAGCCACCTTGATTTATGATAATATTTGTATTAATTTACGATAACATGAATATGCATTTACGATACTCGTGTTACTACAACTCACGGTGATATTTACGATAATATTATAGTAAATCACTTAGTAAGGAGTTACTGTAATCTCGTAAATTAGCATGGTAATTATCGTAACTCAAAGTGCCCACAGAATAAGTTATTCTATAGCCAGCTGCAGAACAGTAGTGTTTTATATATATATATTTTGGAGTGCAGCCAGCATAGCACTCTCTTGTATTCCAAGCATAGGTCAGCACGTGACACGGTCTCCTAGTATTTAGGCTCCGTTTGGTTCAGACCTCGCCACACCACGCCGCAGGTTTCATGCCAGAAGTTAGTCACGATTTGGTTCGTTCCTCCCAGTTGTGGCGTCGCCAGTAGTCTTTCTCACTTGCACCCCGTTCATTTTCCTGCCTCGGTTCGCCAAACGTTTGGCGAGTAAAACGTCTGCCTGACTTCATGGTCACTCATAATTTTTCCGAAGTTGTAAATTATTATAAAAAATAGTGAAAGTTACTTATCACGAAGTATCTGCCGCTCAAAAATCTAGTGATAACGTCACTCATGCAGTGGCAATGTAGCTATATATGTGTAACTCTTCATGCATACATAGCAATAGAAATGTGCAGTATTCTCTGGAAAAGTAGAAATTGACAAGCTTTCTAGCCGAGGCACGAGGACAACGACTCCACTTACTGCTATAAGGTTCACATTCGAATGACCGTGATGATTTACACACATGGAGACATGCATGATTTAAACACAAATTAGCATGCATTCACCTCCCACAGAAAAACAAAGCAAAGAGAAAACATGGGCGATGTTACAAAAACACGACCACCCCCTAAAAGTCTATTGTTTTGTGTCAAACGAAATCCACACATGTTTTAGACTTATAGCTGGCATAGGAGATCTTTCAAAGGGCACTGCTTTGTTTTAGTACGTATGAGCTGCTAGTCGTTGTCCTACATTCGTGTGTGAAGAAACAACGGTGGTTTTCGGCGGTTTTTTCGGCACCGAGACGAGATATTGTTGAACTTGGGCACATGCCGAACGAGCCTGGACGGCTGGACCGGTTTCTCCGCCGTGGGTTCTGACCACCGGGCGGACGAGACCGACGACTGGAACCGCCGCTCGCTAGCTACGCGCCTCTGGTGGCTGCTGGGTGTGCTAGCTGCTGCGCCCCAACCGCATACCACTGCTAGACACCACGCACGCCTGCCGCCCGCCCGCCCGCCCGCGGCCCGAGGCCACGCGACCCAACTAACCCCGCCGGGGCTCCAATGGCGACCCAACTACCTCCCCGTCGTCGCCGCACACGTGGCGCCCCATCCGCCCGTCCAACTGACCTAACCCGATTACCCGTCCGCCTCGCCTGTCGCCTACCCCCGGCCGCGCGGCTATATAACCACCCCGCGGGCCTCCTCTGCCATTAGAGCAAGCGCAGCAGCTAGCTCCTCCGATCATCCATACACAGCGCTCGCTCGCAGTCGCAGCTAGCTAGCTCGCTCGCTCCGACGATCAGGAAAGCCACCTCCGGCGACCGACCTGTCCAAGTGCTGCTGCTGCTGTCGGAGTAGCTAGCGCGCGGCTGATCGATCGACCTGCTAGCTGCAGTCTCTGGGACAACGTAGAGAGAGGAAGAGCGGACGGAGACGATGGCCGGAGCGACTGTGACCGTGGAGGAGGTGAGGAAGGCGCAGCGCGCCACCGGTCCGGCCACCGTGCTGGCGATCGGGACGGCGACGCCCGCCAACTGCGTGTACCAGGCGGACTACCCGGACTACTACTTCCGGATCACCAAGAGCGAGCACATGACCGACCTCAAGGAGAAGTTCAAGAGGATGTGTGAGTATCATCTCTCTCTCTCTCTCCGTCTGTCGTGTCGTCGTCTCCATCGTTCACTCGATCGATCAACACAGAATTAGCGTAGCTGCTGGATGCTGCTGCACACATAGCAGCTTCCACGTATTTCTCCGTCCGTCCTCGCGCCACTCACACTTTATACCAGTAACTGACGACCAAGTTAATTACACTGAATATTTCTACCAGTGAAGACTGGAGAGAAGACTAGCACATATAAATTGCTACGAAGTTACTACAAATTAACAGCAAAACTTGTGCGCACCATAAAAACCCCATGTTCCAGGATTTTGGGGTCCGGTGCGAGAAGGACGCTAGGTTAGGTTTTGGGTACGGTAAGTAGGCATGCAGCGCCCATCAACGAGATGATAACACACAACAAGCATGTATGCATTCTAGCTGGGCCAATACCGTACATACTCCATGGGATGATGAAAAATATAGGAGGGTCAACGGCCGTCCCAACAACACGGATCGGCGTGTACCACACCACTTTATATATTATTTACCTGCTAGTAGTTTATTTGTACTGGTACCCCCTCACCCAAGTAAGTATTACTATCTTGGAAATTAAAAAAAAAAAGGAGTTGGTTAATAAACTGCTAGCTAGCTAGTAGCATGCATGCTAATAATAAAAATGAAGGCATCTAATTTCCGGCAGCAGCTAGTTGCCGGCCTGCTGATCCTTCATCCCTGCTTGTCGCCTTGCCTCCAGCATGGCACGCCCACGACAATCAACTTAACCCTGCCGTACCTGTCCTGTTTTAATTCATCTTTCTGGTATACAAACAAAGGAAATAAATCTGAATATACTGATCATCGAGAGGCCAGGAGACAAAATCTAGACTTAAAGCAAATGTCTAGTACTAGCTAGTATACACGTGTCACGGGTGCCACACTCAAATAAATGGCACATCGAGGCTGCTAATCATGGGTTGTTAGCTCTTCGATCACTGTTGCACTCACGTGGCGCCAGTACGTCATGCAATGCAACCTGCGTGCTGTTAAAAAACACTCTTCTGGCCAGCTAGCTACCCACAGTTTTGTTACCGTGCACACTCGTCGTGTATGTACAGTTCCTACCTATATAAGTATGTCTAGTACTAGGAGGAGTAGTTGGATCAGTAAAACTGTAAAAGTACTTGTACTGTGTATATATATCTTTCCAACCGCACGGACACGGCACACCAGTAGTACACACTTTTGCTTTCTTTTCCTGGACTTTGACGTGACACGCTGTGCATGCCAGCAGCAGCACCAAGAATAGGTTGGTCGGGCCCACAGGCCAGACAGCAACCGCATGCCGGCCGGGGCCGATCCATCATCATCCGATCGGCTCGACTCCTGTGTTAAGCACTAGTACCTAACCACCACGTTGGGTCGACGCCAACGACCCTTCTCTCTTTTTTCCATTGGCCTGTCGTTGCGTGGACGACGGCGAGCCAGCAGCTACCAACTAGCTTCTCCTAGGCAAAAGGAAGGCCAGAAAATAACTGACCGACGACGGCGGTCTTGCCTTGACGTCCGTGCTCTGGCATGGCCTTGACGACTGACGACGACGGTGCGTGGTTTGATCCTGACTCTGACTGTCTGACATGAGCATCCCTGGTGCATGCATGCAGGCGACAAGTCGCAGATCCGGAAGCGGTACATGCACCTGACGGAGGAGTACCTGGCGGAGAACCCCAACATGTGCGCGTACATGGCGCCGTCGCTGGACGCGCGCCAGGACATCGTGGTGCTGGAGGTCCCCAAGCTAGGCAAAGCGGCTGCCCAGAAGGCGATCAAGGAGTGGGGGCAGCCGAAATCCAAGATCACCCACCTCGTCTTCTGCACCACGTCCGGGGTCGACATGCCGGGCGCCGACTACCAGCTGACCAAGATGCTGGGCCTGCGGCCCTCGGTGAACCGCCTGATGATGTACCAGCAGGGGTGCTTCGCGGGCGGCACGGTGCTGCGCGTGGCCAAGGACCTCGCCGAGAACAACCGCGGCGCGCGGGTGCTGGTGGTGTGCTCCGAGATCACGGCCGTCACGTTCCGGGGCCCCTCCGAGTCCCACCTCGACTCCATGGTCGGGCAGGCGCTGTTCGGCGACGGCGCCGCGGCGGTTATTGTCGGAGCTGACCCCGACGAGCGCGTGGAGAGGCCGCTGTTCCAGCTCGTGTCGGCGGCGCAGACCATCCTGCCGGACTCCGAGGGCGCCATCGACGGCCACCTCCGCGAGGTCGGGCTCACGTTCCACCTGCTCAAGGACGTGCCCGGGCTCATCTCCAAGAACATCGAGCGCGCGCTGGAGGAGGCGTTCAAGCCGCTGGGGATCACCGACTGGAACTCCGTCTTCTGGGTGGCGCACCCCGGCGGGCCGGCGATCCTGGACCAGGTGGAGGCCAAGGTCGGCCTGGACAAGGAGCGGATGCGGGCCACGCGCCACGTCCTGTCCGAGTACGGCAACATGTCCAGCGCCTGCGTGCTCTTCATCCTCGACGAGATGCGCAAGCGCTCCGCCGAGGACGGCCAGGCCACCACGGGGGAGGGCTTCGACTGGGGCGTCCTCTTCGGCTTCGGCCCCGGGCTCACCGTCGAGACCGTCGTGCTCCACAGCGTCCCCATCACCACCGGAGCGGCGGCCATCACCGCCTGAGATGATGAGATCATCCACGCGCGCACCTCCATCTCCGTGAATTCCTCCATCATCTCAGTCGATCGTTCGTGATTATTTTCCTCCGACGACGGACCCGTACGTTCGTCCGCAACGCAAATAATGTGCTCTGTTTCTGCGTAATTGTCGTTGTTACCTTTTACTATTTTGCATGTACTGTCAAGTCGCACGTGTAAGCATGCCTGTCGTAAGCCCTTGGCTTGTAGTAGAACCTTATTAATTTTAAGGGCGAGCTAGCTCACGGGTAAGACACCGTTATTATTAATTGTCACTAGCTACTTTATTAGCTTGGAATGGTGAGGTATTGTATACCTGTGTAAAAGACAAGCTTGGCTGGTTTTTAATATTTTAATTTCTTTCTTTAATTTGCTCAGAACAAAATAAAAGGAATTGTGGTGTGGTGATGAGCAAATTGGCTGCCATTTTCAGTGCACCTCAAGTTGGTCCTAGTCCTCCTTCTCTAGTAGTACTCCTATTCAACATTAATAATAGTGAGAGGTCCATTTCCGGCTTCTGTCATACTTTGTCTGATGTGAGCCCATGGATTGAATGGCAGTATTTGTGCATGAAAAGTTCCAAGCTTACCCCAACTGTTTCTTCTTTTTTTCTTTCTTTTCAATCTGCAATACATGATGCAGAAGAAAGCGCAATTTTAAAATATTGATGACTGGTCACGGTCTAGGCCAGCGAGGAGTTTAACTTCAGCTTCAGGCCGGTTTCAATTACAGAGTGAAGAGGAATCATGGCGGTGTCCCGTGTCTGGTGCGAGAAGTGGTTCTCAATTTGCCTCGTTGCCCGCCGGCCGCCTGTGCAACGGGCCCACGGCCTCCCTCCGTGTCATAGGAAAAGTGCTGACGATGTGGAGAAGGCTTGGGTGGTGGTGGCCGCGGGATATTATTAAGGTCCACCGGGCCGGGATTTGGCTAGCCAGCGGAGCAGAGCACAAGCTGATGTGCGGATCGGGGCCCACGGCCCAGCATAAATGATATATAAGCGTTTGTCATTCTGAAATAAGTGCTATACATGGTGTTTCTTTTTTCTAAATGCGATGCAAGAGAGTGTACATTTTTCTTTTAAAATAAGTATACACATCTAGAGTTCAACTATAAGTTTGAGTATATTTACAAAAATAATATCGACATTTGTATTGTCGTTAATAGATTTACTAAAAAAATTGTTGCATGATTCATTTAATGATATTTATTTATTGTCACAAACATTAATATTTTTATATATATTTGGTTAAATTTAAGATTCATTGACTCGTCGCGATATGATATGCGCACTTTATTTTATGATGGAGGAGTAATTTAAAATATTAATGACTTGTCAAGGTCCAGGGAGTTTAACCTTTGATTCAATTAGCGAGGACTAATCATGGATTCATGGTGTCTGGTATGAGTAGTGGTCCTTAATTTACCTTGGTGCCCACCGTCTCTGTCAGACTGCCGTGGCTTCCTCCTTGACAAAGGAAAAGTGTGTTGACTAAGGGCTTGTACAGCCCACAGACAGAGCCTATCTGTAAGTTCTTGGAATCCACAATATAGACAACTAAATTCATACAACCCATAGATAGGAGTCATCTGTTTAACTGTCTGCAAGTGGTTTAATGCTTACACGTAGCCATGATTAATCATGAATATCATTTTAGTGTACCATTGTGTTGCTATTTGATACAACATGATTTCCCACCCACAAGCAACCAAAGATTACAAATATTCATACTATAATTGTAAAGAATTCTATTTCACCCACAAGCAAACAAAGAGCCTAGCTCTCTGGCATTCTTTTTCAACTGAACATTCAGCTCGCTGAGGATCTGGGACATGGTCACAGCAGCTTCACGGTAGCAGCATGCGCGCAGCAGGGAAAAATGATCTAATATAGAACAGGGCAGGTAAAGATGATCAAAACTGCTATCAGGCATTGAACATAATCTACAAGCTTTATAAATGACAGATATTCAACAGCTAGCATGTGTTCATTGAAGCTACCAGCGTGTGGTACTTCATGCAGCTAGCAGGTAAAGTTGGAAACGAATAAAAGAATATCCACCACTTCAGAGACTTATTCACACTAAAAGGATTCAGAGACATTCAGAGACTGATTGAAAATTGCACACTGACATTCAGTTTTCAGACACCCATAGTTCAATAATCCACCATCTTCGCTTTGCATATGCTTCCTGGTGGTGCACCATTCAGTCTACCATTCACTCTAATATCTACTGCTGTCAGTCTATCATTCAGTGAGATATGACCAACGCTCATCTATTGTACAGACTGACAACAAATACTAACTTAATCAGCAAAATTTGAAGAATTAT